TGTGTTAAACTGAAAATGGCAAACTATAAACGAGACGTTCATTCGTTTAGTACTGAAAATATAAGAGCTGAGGTTGTTTTGACTCTGACTTTATGCGTTTAAACATTTTTGTAAAACTGGTACCCGTGTGGGTTTTGCCAGGTGCTCCAGTTTCCTCCCACAGACCAAAAACATGCATGTTAGGCTGATTGGTAACTTTAAATTGTGCCGAGGTGAGAGAGAGAGTGAATGATTGTTTGTCTTGTTTGTCTCTATGTGTCCCTGTGATGGACTGGAGACCTGTCCATGGTGTCCCCATCTCACACATGATGACTGCTGGAGATAGACACCGTGACCCAGAAAGGAGAAGCGGTAAAGAAGATGAACGGATTTTATTTACCTCGTCTGCGAGTCGATCATCTGGATCGTAGTCCTTCATGTCGATCACCTCAGCTGGTATTCTTAAAGCCTCCACCTCCTCTGACAGCTCTTTAGCAAAACCCTAAAAGGAGGAAAATCAAAGTTTTGATACCAAGTCCAAACTGTTTTTAATTTAAGTAACAGAGAGTAAAACTGTGTCAGCTCTGCTTCTTCTTAAACTGCACTTCAGTAGAACTTGCAGTGTTTAATCATACCAGTAAAACACAGCTAACTGAGGTTGTTTCATTTTAGTGTTTTTAATAACTTAAACTTTGTTTTAATAATTATGTTTACAAAATTAGGCATGGTAAAACATCATCCACCATTAGTTTAGGCTCCGTTATGTATTTCACATTAAAGTGCAGAAACCGTGAGCCTGTTTAACTTCCAGTAAAAATGTTGCTGACAGATTACGTCTGTACCTTTGCTGCTCCAGTTTGTGAGCCGAAGAAGATTTTAACTCCTGACACGTAAACCTCTGGATCTTTGTCAGAGCGCCTCTTGTTCTTTGCAGCTTTGGAGTCCCGTGAACCAGCAGCTTCAGTGAACTTTATCTGCACACATGACGAGGCAGAACATTAACAGGGCAAACAAAGAGGGAAGTGCCTTATTCTTCTTTCGGCTGCTTTCTTTAGAGTCTTCACAGCAGATAATCTGCCTCCAGCTCCTCCTAATCCTGCATCACTACATCCACAAATCTCCTCTGAGGTCTCCTGGTAGCTCCATATTCCATATCCTTTGTCCAATATGTCTACTGTCCCTCACCTGAACATGTCCAAACCATCTCAGACTCGCCTTTATAACTTTGTCTCTAAACCTGAGCTCCTTCCTCCCAACAAGAATCTGAACATCTTCACCTCTGGCTTTTTGTTAAAACGGTCTCCAAACGATTCAATTCAATTCAAAAATACTTTATTAATCCCAGAGGGAAATTATATAATAATTAGATCATAGCAGGTCTCCTCTTGTAAATCTTCCTTTTCACTCTTGCAGCTCTCCTGTCACTAAAGGCCCCTGACACTCACTACACTCCAAAAACTCACATTAATTATTCCAAAATGCAGTAGTTTCTACATTTTGAACCAGACAGTTGAGCTTGCTATTGCTTGAAGTTCTTTTGAAGCCCTACATGTTACACCTGTCCTACTTCTACTGATTTTCATTTCTCCTCACTCCAGAGCAGATCTCCACCTCTCCAAGTTCTCTTCCACCTGCTCCCTGCGCCCACTACAGAAGGTACTCGTGAACACCATAGTTGACAGCGACTCCACCTGACCTCACGCGTCTACCTGTCCATCACCATTAAAAAAAATGAGGGTCTCAGAGCTGATGCCTGTAATCCCATCAGTCATTCCTGCTCTTTTAAACGCTGAAGTGCTCAAAAGCCAACATCCACATTGAGAAAGATTTAATAAAAACATCTTAAAATATCAATGAAAGTTTCAGTTTGACCAGAAGTTAAGATTAAATGTCATCAAACAAAAACTCACTTTCTTGAGTGCCACCTTCAGTAAGAACCAGGTCCCAAAAACCAGTGCAGCAGCTGAATAAACGTAGATCCTGTTGGTCCAAAGTGACGTGAGACAGTTGTCCCCGGAGCTCTGGACATCCTGGGGATCTAGACAAGACACATCCAGCTGAGTCCTCTGTTTCTCACCAGCAATGTGAGTAAGAACGGTTTTTAAAATCTGCTAAAATACTGCTGTTGCTAATGTTAGCATACACTGACGATTGTTTACATTGAGGCTGTGACGTAAGTTTAGTTTCTGTTCCGTTAAACGCTTAAAATAAAAATTACCTTTAGTCTCCGACGAAGACACAAACCCCCAAAAAAGAGAATTCATTACAAATGAAATTAACATCGTTGCAAACGCTGAAAAAAACATAGAAGAATATACTCAGTTGTCACAAGCTCGTGCAGTAGTGTGCAGCCATATTGTTTGTCCGAAGAGCATGCTGGGATGTGAAGTCTTCGAGCAGGTTGTTTTTATCGTGCATGCGCAATTTTCTTTAGCAGAAAACGAAACAACGGCTAACAAGAAGTCCTAATCATATTACGAGTATCGAAATAGAAAAAGATAAAATATTCACAAAATAGAACTTATATTGATGAATATAAATATGACATTTTTATTCGAAAGCTAGGCTGAGTTCACGTACTTTTATTTTGAAGTTTTGCAGTGGAAATGTGAAATTTACGCATTTTTAACGATCGTTATAATTTATCACGTCCGTTAAAACTGTAAGAAATGCGCGATGTTTAAAGTAAATACAGTGATATATTAAATATGATTAAATATGGCATGATACCCGTCCTCAAATGCTCATAGTAAGTATAGACATATGGTGAAGTTAACTTAATAAAGTTTTAGTTTACCTTTTTGTTTTGTGGGCATCATTGTATTAGATACTTTTGAGCCAGTAGGTTGTAACAAAAACCATCAACGTTTTTGCTTTTCCTGTGTTTATTTTTGACAAAGTCGTACCTTTTTTTCGGCTATTTATTCATTTCTTTGTAGAACAAATTTGAACGAATCTTGCGCGCCCCCTAGTGGTTGTGTATGAAAACTGCACATCATCAAACACTTCCTGTTTGAACTTCAAAATAAAAATAAATGTTTTGAATTTTAGCAAATTTATCAAAATGACGTTTTGGTTTTGTCAACAAAATTTAGTCAGTAATACAAAAATTGTGTTATTTTATGACAAGTTTCATGTCAAGTCTTTGATCACATGCTTGGGACAATCGCTTTATAACCTCCTGTCATTATTTTGTTCATTTTGTTTTATAATGTTGATATTTGTAATTTTGTTAACACTTTTATTGTCAATATAAAAATGCTGGGGGGACAATAGCATACTAACACTTCCTGTGTGGACTTTCAAAAATAAAGCATTTTTTTAAGTTTTTCATGAAAAAAAAATCACATAAAAACTCGTAAATTACGTGTTTGTTTGTTTTTTGTACATATATTTTATTCAATAATACCATTATTATTATTATTTTACGACACAAGTTATATGTCGTAGATAAATTAAAAAAAAAACGTGTAACATCTTTGAACTTTAGCATGCTACCACTTCCTGTGTGAAGTTTCAAAATAAAATGTTTTGTAACTATAGTTCAATAAAACCTAAACTTATCTGCTGAAAACATGTCACATTTTCTATTATTATTAGTATTATTATTATGCTTGTACAATCCAAAAGTTGTTCTATTTACCATGCAACGAAAATTATTAAAGCAGACTTGATCAAAATATAACCTAAGTTGTATTTTTGCACCAAACATGTATGATGTATGTGACATGTAAACATGTTTTCAATTCTTTCTTACGTTTTGTCAATGGTAATTATTTTTACGCTCTTAAGGTGTTGAAATAGAACAGATGGACCAAAGCGGAACTCTTGTTTTCAAGCTCACGTTTCTCCACGGAAGCGGACTCAGAAACGTAAACATCGCAGTTACAGACAGTCTTGAGTTTTGTTGTCAGAAGGGATTTGGGCGCAGTTAGTGCGTGTTTTAAAATATAACATGTCCATTTTCACTCCAACGAACCAGATCCGGCTCACGAACGTGGCCGTGGTTCGGATGAAAAAAGGAGGGAAGCGTTTTGAGATCGCCTGTTACAAAAATAAAGTCATGAGTTGGAGATCAGGAGCGTGAGTAACATAAAATATTATTATAAAAACTTTTAAATGCATTATTCGGCAACGATCTGCTGGATTATAATTTTGTTTCGTTATCTGTAAACCGGGTGGAGTGAAAACAGACTGTTGTTTGTTTTTGTTGTTGTTTACTTTCAGAGAGAAAGACCTGGATGAGGTTCTGCAGACACATTCTGTTTTTGTCAACGTGTCCAAAGGTCAGACGGCAAAGAAGGAAGATCTGGTTCAAGCTTTTGGGACGGATGACCAGACAGAAATCTGCAGACAGGTTGAAAAGATTCAAAACATCATGTTGTCATTTAACGGATGTTGAAGGGCCGGAGGGGAAATCCCCTCGTTTTTAACCCGTTCGATTTTCACGGTGCAGATTTTGTCCAAAGGAGAACTCCAAGTGTCGGACAAGGAGCGTCAGAGTCAGCTGGAGACCATGTTCAGAGACATCGCCACGATCGTGGCAGAGAAATGTGTCAACCCCGACACCAAGAGGCCGTACACGGTGAGCCTGATCGAGCGCGCCATGAAGGACATCCACTACTCCGTCAAGACCAACAAGAGCACCAAGCAGCAGGTCAGCACGCACACCGTCTGCTGCTTAGTGACTACACGCACACCGTCAGCTGCTTAGTGACTACACGCACACCGTCAACTGCTTAGTGACTACACGCACACCGTCAGCTGCTTAGTGACTACACGCACACCGTCAGCTGCTTAGTGACTACACGCACACTGTCAGCTTCTTAGTGACTACACACACACCGTCAGCTGCTTAGTGGCTACACGCACACATTTGAGCTCACGCCATGAAAAGCTGGGTAAAAGCCGACGTAAAAAGAAAACGATGTTATTCCTGTTTCCGTCCATCATCTGGTTCTGGACTCTGGTCCCGGGGGCTGCAGAGGTCACGACCTCTCTCTACCCACAGCCAGCTCTTCCAGCTCCTCTGGAAGGACTTCAAGATGTTTCAGACCAGCTGAGAGACATCATCTCTTAGCTGGTCTGGGTCTTCCCTGATGTCTCCTCCCAGTTGGAGCACCTCCCTAGGGAGGCGCCTGTAGGTGAGGGTAGGAACGTAGACCAAGTGTAAACAATCTGACGGCTTGTACTCTCCTTCTGAAGGACATGTAAAGAAAAACTATCTGAAAGTGAGATTTCATATAAAGACTAAAGATTCAAGAGACATGATGGATGGTCCCATTAGAAATATAGAGAACCCCAAACCTGGTGGGGGGGGTGCTCAAGTAATCTCTAGGACTAGAAAAAATATTTTTATTTGCTTTAATCCCTGAAACGTTTGAAGACGTCGAGGTGGACGGAGCTCGTCCTTCGTCACTCTGAATCGTGTCCTCGGTGTGTCCCGGTGTCTCCAGGCCCTGGAGGTGATCCGGCAGCTGAAGGAGACCATGCAGATCCAGAGAGCCCACATGAGGCTGAGGCTGGTGCTGCCGGCCAAAGAGGCCAAGAGGCTGAAGGAGAAGCTGAAGCCGCTGCTGCAGGTGGTGGAGAGCGAAGACTTCGACGAGGAGCTCGAAATGGTTCGTCTGTGTGATAGAAGGCTTTTATTTTGAAAAATAGGAGTCCTTTTATTTTGTCAAGCAGCCGCTCCTCTCCTCCCAGGTGTGTCTGGTGGACCCGGGCTGCTTCAGGGAGATCGACGAGTTGATCCGCTGCGAGACGAAAGGCCGAGGCTCCCTGGAGGTGCTCAGCCTGAAGGACGTGGAGGAGGGAGACGAGAAGCTGTAGACGAGCAGTCAGACAGGAAGTGACGCGTCACCGAGGCCCGCAGCTTCACACGATCCAAATTAACGAACGCTTCTGCTCCGGGTTTTTATTTTGAGCCACTGTCGACTGCATCTGCGTTAAAGAGTCAGTCTGAGAGGAGATGAAGTTTTAGATTTTAAAGCTAAAGTTCATTAACTCGCTCCGAGCTGAACGCTTTAATTTACCGTTTCACATTCTCCATCTGGAACGACTTTAGCTCTTTAAATTAAACAAATCTGTCATTTCAGATTATCGTTAATCTTTAATAACTACACAACGCTAAAGAGATGAACATTCAATCTGAGCAGTTCAAACAAGTTATAAAACGGCTTCTTCTCAGAATTAATTCATTTATTCATAATATTCTGGTGTTTTAAGCTGAGAAAAAAGTTTATTTTTGATCCTTTGACTCGATGCTAATAAATAAATCTTTGCTGCTTTTGGAGAAAATGTCTCTGGACGTTTTCAGTTTTTGTTGCTTAAACCCAAAACATTTAGTTTCAGAAAGTGAAAAATTTATTCTGGGTAAAAGATCAAACTTGGACAAATAAAGATAATAAATATGAATAAAGGTGAAAGTGTTTGCTGTCGTCTTTTTTTGGGCTTTTTATCTCGTCCAATGTCAGTCTGAGTGAAATTTTCTAAAATATATTTATAAACAAATTATCAAAGTATTTTAAAAAGGGAGAATTAAGAAACTAAACATTGTGATTCAGATATTGAAGCGATGATCTCTGAAATGTTCTGCAGTCAAACTAAAGTTGAAGTTAATCCAGATAACTTCTGTAAACGGGTCGTAGTTGCTGAACTCGTTGGGATTAAACTCGTTCTGTCAAAGTTTGTTTTGTTCTCGTCAGAAGAGCAGAAAGACGATCCGGTCACCGCCTCGCTCACGTTCTCTCTGCTCGCGCTCGTCTCGGAGAAGGACGCGCTGACATGAAGACGTGTTGTCCAACTCAGGAACAACTTTAACCTGTTCGTCCCGTTCTGCCTCTGGAACCGGACCAGATTATATTTGTTCAAATAGTTCATCCCTGCAGCGAACCACGCTCTGAGTCGCGTTTCAATCCGAGGATGCTCCAGGTCAGGAGAACAGGGGCGCACCAAGGAGGGGGACAGGGGGAGGCCGTGGCCTCCCGATTAACATAATAGTTTTTAATGTGGAGGTTTTGCTTGATGTGTATTTTTAATTTGCCCTTTCTGAAATTAATAGTAAAAAATATAAATATTCAATTTAAAATAAACTTAATGTCTATCTTAATATCTAGTCCCCCTAAATAAGACGTGTATTAGATGTGACGTATTTATGGATTTAAAAAAAATTATTAGATATTTTTGGACTGATGCGACTTAAAATACGGTAATATAAATTTAGGAGGACAGTAAAAATATAAAAATAAAGGAGCACATCAGAAAGTGATTTTCTCTCTTTTTTCCTAAGAACCCATTTATAACCAAAACAGAACAAACATGAAATTCTCCTCAGGCTGTTCAGGTTTTGGTGCCACCTCTGGATTTTCCTGCTTTTTTTCTAAAACGTAAAAAAAAAATCCCAATTAATAATAATTTAACTTATTTGTTCAACCATCCTATTGATTATATTGAAACTACATTTAAGTTTAGTTTTAGTTGATCTGTCTCGAGCTTTGACAGATGTTGTAATAAGTTATCGACTCTGGAACATCTGTCGGGGATAAACGTGGCTCCGGAGAGCGAACAGGAAGTGACACTTTACACCGTGAACGACTTATTGTTTTACATTTCAGAACAAAGAAAAATAACAAACTTCTATAAAAGTCTGTCTTTGTGTACAACCCTTAGATAAAACCATTGAACTATTTGTGAAAAATTAATAAAGTATCCCACCTTCAAATAATAAATAATAAAAGCAGTTTGTTGGTATTTAAAGGTGATTTCATCACTTTCCTCTCAAAAAGGCTAAAATATTTTAATTTATTTCATTTTAAACGTTTTTATTAAGCTTCTAATTTATAGAATGACTTTTATGTTTCTAATATTTTCCTGTGGAAGTTACTAATTTAAATTTTCTTAATTTCCAGAAGAACAAAGGAGCCACATGTGGCCCGGAGCCGCAGGTTGAACCCCCCTGGTTCAGGTTTTTCTTTAATGATTTGTAGATTTTATAGAAAAGTCACAAACATGTAAAATAAATCTGCAACAAGTTTACAGCAAACTGTTTTTATTGGCTGTAAAAGTTAAAAACAGGCGAGGAATCGTCTGAAAACGTTCGTATCGTTCCATTAAAAAGTTTCTGACGTCGTCAGTTTGTGCAAAGAGCTGCAGTAGTTTCCACATCGCTTCATTAAAACAAAGTACTCGGTCGGAAGAAAAAAGATTTTACTCACAACTTTACGGGTTTCTCATTTTTATACTTCATAAAATATTTAAACTTTTCTTACTCTTTGAAATAAAACAAAAATTTCAGATCCTTAAAAACTTGAGTGATTTTTAAATTATTCCAATTGATTCATTTTTAGCTTTTACCTACAGTTTTGATACTCTTCTTCGCATTTTAGCTTTTAGTTATCGTTTTGCTAATTTTGCTTAAGCTGGTTTTCTAGCTTTAGCTTTTAGCTACAATTTAGCTTATTTTTGCTTTAGCTATTGTTTGGATAATGTAGGGTTTTAGCTGATGTTTGTGCAAATTTAAGCTAATGTTTTTTAGCTGTAACTTTTAGCTACTATTTTGCTCATTTTGCTCTTCAGTAAAAGTTTTCTTAATTTGAATTTTTAGCCACTATTTAGCTAATTTTGGCTTTAGCTATTCTTTGGCTAAAGTAGGCTTTTAGCTGATGTTTGTGCAAATTTAGCTTAAAGCTAATGTTAGTTAGCTGTAACTTTTAGCTATTATTTTGTTCATTTTTGTCTTCAGTAAACGTTTACCTAATTTGAGTTTTTAGCTACTATTTTACTCATTTTTGGCTTTAGCCACTGTTTTAGTAGTATTTGTTTTTGGCTGCTATAGCTGTTAGCTATTTCTTGCTAATTTTGGCTTTTAGTTCAATTTTTGTTAGTTTTACTTTTTAATGACTGTTGCAAATTTTGACTTACAGCATCTTTTCTAGTTTTCGGCTATTGTTTGCTAACTTTAGCTAAAATCTAATGCTAGCAAACAATAGCAAACAAGCTTTAGCTTCTAGCTAAAGATTTGCTCATTTTGATTTCAGTTAATGTTCTGTTAGTTGTGGCTACTGTTTTGCTAGAGGTAGCTATTGTCATTTTGGCTTTAGCAATTGTTTAGTTAGTTTTAGCTTTCGGCTACTGTTTGGCAAGGTTTAGCTTTTAGCTACTGCTTTGCTTGTCTTTGCTTTCAGGGACCATTTTTGTTGATTTTATGTTGTTCAGCTCAGTTCAGCTTCTTCAACAGATTTCATCAGTTTTTAGCTCTCAGCGCTCAATAAGACAGAAGAAAAGGCTAAAACTGGACTGAATATGAGCTAAAAGTTTTGTAAACGTTGAGATCAGGTAAACAAGTAAACAATCCCACAGTTCTAATGGTCACACCACCAGGCCCGTCATGTAAACAACAAACAATTTGTTAAAATGTTATAAAACCCAACAGAACCAGGTCCAGTCCCATGTGTGTCCCCGTTAGTAAGCCCCCTGTAGCTACAGTTCTGTCTCCGAGGACAGAAGTGGTCCCCTGTCCTCACTGCTCGTGCAGGTCTCTGGACCTCTGGTCCCTCAGATGGGTTCTGACCTGCGTCCGTACTGGCTGTGGGTGAACGTGGTTCTGTTGATTGTGCTCAGAGGGTGACTGGCCTCCTGGTCGGGGGTCCTGCCGGTTCCAGGCTCCTCCACCTGTCCCCCAGCAGAGGACCACCTGGTGATGAGAAACACCCCGCCGACCAGCATCAGGGAGAAGGAGATCCAGCCCAGGTACATAGCCGGGCCCCAGGTCCTGCTGAGGGGGACCGCGCCCTCAAGTGGCTGACTGGTGTGATGGCAGGTCCAGGCTGTGGGAACCAGCATCAGGATCCCTGCCACGATGAAGAAAGCCCCAGAAAACACTTTGATCTGCCCTCGACCTGGGAACCAGATAAGCCCCGCCCCTCCAATCACAGCTGCGAAGCCCCCAGCGCCGATGGCCGCCTCGATTATGGCCCTCCATGTGCGGAAACTCCCGGACAGAGACATGAGGGACCGGTAGAAAGAGCAGTGCAGGCTGCCGTCGTGGGCCAGGTCCCAGTGGTCCCATTCCAGCCACACCCCGTCCCAGTAGGCAGGCAGGGTGGCCGTGACGTTGTCCACGGTCCCGCTGACCTTCCACAGGGCCACGCAGCGGGTCAGAACCGCAGCCAGCCACCCCGTGAAGGCCAGCCCTAAGGCGACAAGCTCCAGCTGCCTCTTCATGACCGCCGGCCTCGTCCCCCTCCTCCTCCTCTCTGCCCAAACCAGAAGCAGCTGCGAGCTGTGGGTCGAGCCGGGTCAGGGAGGGGTGTCTGTGTTCAGAGGAACCGGTTCTGTGGTTTTCCTGAATAGAAGGCACTGGCTTCGGCTGCAGCCGGGCGGAGAGAGGAGGGGAATCCCTGTTTGCTCTGCCGAGCTTTCAGAACAATCCTCTTCTCTCGGGTTCTGCTGAGAACAAAGCTCCCTGTGTGCACCGACCGCTCGGCTGCTGGGGCCTCGGTCCCGACAGGAAACTAAAGCGAGTCGTGAAAACACCAAACTGTGGAGGATTCAGCCACAAGTTCTGACTGGTTCCGGCATTTTCTGCTCTCAAGGCGGAGATGATTCATCCGGGAGTCAGATTACACTCAGTCTGTTTTCATTGTGTCAGCAAAATATCTCATGAACCAGTGGACTGATTTTACTAAAAGTCATCGTTGGACAAAAGTCTACAAGAAGTCAGCCACATTAAAGATGGCCGCCACAGCTAACCCCATGAGCCACCACAAACATGGCTACAACTCAGTCAAATTTACAGATATCGAGCCAAAAGTCAGGGTGGTAGTATCTGAGAGTAATGCTCAAGGAGTGCTCTGCACCACTTATGTGTTTTTAAAACTTTGGAGTTGTTTCTGTCTGTCTGTTAGCAAAATATCTCCTCAGCCACAGGACAGATGTACAGTGTTCCCTCGTTTCTCATGGGTGTTAGGGACCATCTCTCCTCCTCCTCCCCCTGTGATAAGTGAAAAACCATGAAGTAGGGACAGTAGTCCAAGTAGCAGTAGTAGTTTATTAAATATATATATAAAGGTGTTTTAAACCCTTCCCACACTCTTGCAATATTCTAAACAATGTTTCTAAACTCTAAGCGCTCTAAAAGAGCACAGAATGTCATGTTTCTGCTCTCTGCCTCTGGTTGCACTCTTGGCCACGCCCACTTCTAAGCTCTGCACGGAGATCAGTTGATCAGCTGCAGGAGGAAGCTTTTTCTGCAGTTCTGGGCTGCACAAAGGTGCAGGAGGTGCTAAATAATTTAAAATAATTTATTTTAAATTACAATTCCATGCCGATCGTGCAGCTCATCCATTAATCAGCCAGTTGTGTGTCATGTCCGATCTTATCGCTCGCGATAGAGCGAGTCCACGATAAACAAACCGCGAAGTAGCGAGAGAACACTGTAATACAAACTTATTGGATTTACGTCAACAACTCATTAACGTTTGGAGTTAACCTGATTCAAGATGGCTGCCACAGCCAACTGAACTTAGCAAACACTGCTAAAATTTGCAAAACAGTAGCTAAAAGCTAAAGCTAGCAAGCCTTAGCTAAAAGCCAAAATCAGCAAAGCAGTAACTAAAAATTATAGCTAGAAAACATTAACTAAAAGCCAAAACTAGCTACACAGTAGCAAAAATCTAATCTACTAAAACAATAGTTAAAATGCTAAATTATTAAAACAGATGCTAAAAGCCAAAATTAGTTAAACGGAAGCAGTAAACATGGACTAAAAAACAAAATTTGCAAAACAGCTAAAAGCTAAAACAGCAAAACATTAGCCAAAACCTAAATTGGACCCAAGGATGCAGACGACACCAGGAGCTCAAAAATAAAATTTATTATAAAACAAAACAAAAAGATTGACGAGGCAGCAAAACTCACGAACATCAGCCCAGCGGTGGCTGAAGAGTTTAAAAGGCTGATGAGAGAAGTAGCTGCAGCTGTGACAGGTGAGACAGAGAGCAGGTGAAGATGGGCGTGGCCCACTGACAGGAACAAAACCCGACTGAAGGCACAGAGGAAACATCACAGGGTCGGCCCTCAAATGGTTTAGGTCCTTCCTCTTTGATAGAAGCTTTTGTGTCAACATCAAGGATTTTGTTTCCACATCGGTGGAGGTACCACAGGGCTCCATTCTTAGACCTCTTTTTTTTAAATTATAGCTGCTGTATGTTTCACAAGCAGACATCCCTGTTCATTTTTATGCTGACAACTGTCAAACTTACTTCCCTCTGACGCACACTGGTGCACGCTCTGTCCAACCTCTCCTTGACTGCCTGGTTGACATCAGGGATTGGATGGCTTTACATTTTTTAAATTTCAATGAGAAGAAGACAGAAGTCATGTTGTTTCCACCGAATGGCGCCAACAGGAACCCCTGCATCGACCTTTCACCCCAGGCCCCTTTTGAGAAACAGATTGTCACTATTCTGAGTGAAAATGGACCCTTCCATCAAACTAAACCATCATGTAAACATGATTGTAAAATCCTGCTTTTTTTCACTTGAGGTGACGGTCTAAATAAAAACAAAACCGTCGAAAACAAATGTTGAGACAGTAACATGATTTCATAACACCCAGGCTGGATTACTGCAACTTTCTGGGATCAGTCCGACATCTATTCCCTGTTTGCAACTGGTTCAAAATGCTACAGCACGATTTTTAACTGGTACAGGCACAAAAGGGCACATTTCTCAGGTTTTGGCTTCTGTCTGTGCCAGTTTTACTGATATTGAGTTAAAAGTTGGTGTGGTGGTAGCTGAGAGTCATCTACAACACATGCTCCGAGCGCAGCACGCTGTGTGACATCATTGATTCAGCATTAACTGCTGGATTTAAACTTTCAGAAAGTAAAGTGTTGATGTCTACGGCTGATCAAGTTTTGGAGTCAACGCCAATAAAGATGGCTGCCACAGCTACAGTAAGTAGTCTCATCAAACGCATAAACGGCTACAACTCAGCTGATTTTAAATATATTGGGCTAAAATCTGGTGTGGCAGTAGCTGGGAGTCCTCCCTAACACATACTCCAAATGCTAACAGATCATGAGATTAAACAAGTGGTTCCCAACCGTGGTCCTTGAGGAACACCATCCTGCATATTTTAGTAGTTTCTCTTACCTCCTCGAGTTCTGCAGAAGCCTGTTAATCACCCATTCATTCAAATCAGGTGCGCTGGAGCGGAGAAGCAACTAAACCATGCAGGATGGTGTTCCTCAAGGACCAGGGTTGGGAACCACTGGATTAAACTATGTTATGAAAGGCGACGGGCAATATGCATTCTTTAAAGGAATTACATTTTTGTACAGTTGTAATTAGTGAGTATCAGGCTCAGTATCAGCTTCAAATACCTATATTCATAAAAACTGGCACTACTGATACTACCTTTATGCTTGGTGATGTCATTTCCTGTTCCACTTCACCAATAATGGAGGACAAACAAGAAAAAAGTCCAAAGTTTGGAGACATTTTAAGATAAACACAGGTAAGGTTAAGGCAGTAGACTGCTGTGTTTCTAATAAAATAAATGTCTCTAAAGTCGTGGTATATAATGTTTTAGTACTAACCCATTTACTTCTCAGTATTGACAAGTATCCATACTGAAGTAAATGTACCCGATCTGATACTACTCTAGTATCAGGACACCCTCAGTTGTAATATTTTTGTGGCGAGTGTGTCTGCAGTTCTGATTTCACACATAGTTCTGGATGGCGTAGCTGCTGCGTGTGGACGTCTTGGCCCGCCTGTACCCGCCGGAGGGGAATCTGGGCCCCTGTGGGGGGCAGCTCAGACACAGGATGGCCCCTCCACAGAAGAGCAGCCCAGATGCCACAAAGCCGATGTAAACGGCCGCTCCCAGCTCCCTCTTCAGCACCTCGGGGACTCGAGGATTGTAAAAATCTGAGATGATGGAGTTGGCGGTCCAGGCAACAGTGACTATGGTTGTGAGGGCCGCCAAGCAGAAGATGACCCCCGAGCTGACCACCACCCGGGCCTTGATGTGAGGGTGGCTCAGGCAGTTGGTGCACCTTGCCCCCAGGAGGAAGATGAGGAACCCGAGACACCCCAGCACCAGGCTGGTGCAGATGAGTCCGCGGGCCGCCTGGAGGTCCGGGGACAGGTCCAGAAGGGCGTCGTAGAGCTTACACTGCATCTGACCCGTGTACTCGCTGACGCAGGTCATCCACAAACCCTCCCAGAACACCTGCATGACCACCAGGTGGGTGCCGATGAACGCCGTGACCTTCCACATGGGCAGGCCGCAGATCAGCATGGTCCCAGCGAGGCCGGTCAGGGACAGACTGATGCCCAGCTCCTGCAGAGCCATGGGGGGCCGGGGGGGACGCCTGCAGCAGCTGGAACACAGGAGGACGACAGAAATCAACACGTGAGGATTTATTCAGAAAAGACAAATAAAACCTTTAATCCCATCCTGACGTGCTGCTGCCGGGGGCATTTCAAGCTAATCATCATCCTCTGGTGTGACTTCAGTTCAGCTGAAGAAATGCAGTTTGTAAAACAAAAACAAAAAAGTAATTTTTTCAACTTTTAATTTAAGAGAGCTTGAAGTTGTTGTTTGTTTTTTTGTCATGAACATTTGTGAAGTCGTTTGGGCAGAGAGCCGCTGTGTGGCAGCCTGAGGCCACAAACAGGACGAGTCGGAACAGAAGAAACCAGATGTTCTCCTGTTTCTGCACGTTTCAACAGCAGAGGAGGTTTTTGACCAGGGCTCAGCTCATTTAAATGGTTTAGCATTTTTATTCTTGCTTAAATTTGATTATTCCCTTTTTTATTTGTACGAGTTTAAACATTTAAACTTTCTTTCCCTGTAGACTTCAAAAAAGTTTTGAACTTCTTAAAGCGTTTTTAAGGTTGCCTTAATATTGGCACAACGTCCTCTCAGACAGAACTGATCATCTCTATCAAAATGGAAAACTTATTTGACTCTGTCTTTATTTGTCTGTTAGCAAAATATCTCTTAAACCACTGGATGGGTTTTATTGAAACTCTCAGAAAGTAATCACTAGATGCACTAATTTCTGTTTTGAGTCAGTCTAATTCAAGATGGCCACCGCAGTTGTTAAAAACAAGCATCAAAAAGTAGTACATTTGAAGTTTACTTGTGCAAGTATACTTTAAGTTAAGTATATCAAGTACACCATACTAGAAGTATACTGATTGAATACTTGTTTGGACTAAATTGGGACATTTTTATACTATTTTTGAGTATATCAAATAAAGTTTATAAAATGAAAACTTCAAGTACACTTCCTCATTTTTAGTGTAAAATAAGTTTACTTGTAGTACACTTAAATAAAATACTTTTTGCTAAGGGACGTCAAACTTGGACCGAGCCAACGGGAAACTCAGCAGGTTAGCAGTTTTACATAATAAGTTGAGTAAAAAAGAATAATGCAATAAAATATGTTTTTATATAAAAGCAATGCCTCAGTTTGAGTTGGTGCTAAACACGATTAGCATCAGCTAGCACCAACTCATGCTACTTTAGGAAGTCACACTCACTGTCTGATTAAAACTATTTACAAAGTCAACCTTTTAACAGCTTGAAAAAATGTTTTTACAGTCGTCTGGTTCAAATGGAGAGCTTGTCTCCAAACCAGCCACTGGGTCAAACCGACCCGACCCATGACCCAACAGCTTTAGCCCTTTCTCGTTTTTATGAACGTGTCTGCTGAATCAGGTAAAACCACGTGTATTATGCCAAATTTCATGAATATTAAGACGTTGTCCTCCACGATTTGGATCTGTAGAACACGCATGTCATGGACACTTGAAAGTCTTGTCAGATCCAGAAACAGAGGACCCGTTTTGTCACATAACTGACGTGTTTTCTTTTGAACTTGGTGCAGCCAAAGTAAAACAGGAAGTGACATCAAACTCTTTAAGAAGGGGAGCTTATTGATCGGTGTTTATCGAAACAAACTAATCTAAAGAAACATCAGAGTCTTCTCTGCTCTCTGTGCTGTCAGCCATTGTAGCACCGCTGTGTTTACGTGCAGTGTTCCCCTTTGACATCACTTCCTGTTGCTGACATCACTTCCTGTTACTGACATCACTATCAGTTACTGTATCTCAGCAGTTTATCCCAGCAGTGTGAAATGTTTTTGGCAATGCATTCATTTCATATTTATTACAGAAACATGATGTCACGGGCACCTTAAAAAGCTCGGCCTGTTAGATGGGGGGTGGGGTGGGGTTGGGGGGACTGAGAGGAGAGGTTGGTGGAGCTGGCTTGAAGTCTGCTGGTTGCTGTTCCACTCCCTCCTTTGACTAACTCCATCTTTTGTCAGTTTTCTTTAAACTTTAACTGGATGTGGAGGTTATCAGCGGTTCTTTTCTGGGGTTTAATCAAACTTTCCAAAACAAAAGTGGCTATATATTAAAGATATTGAAATAAAATTTTGGTCAGGAGGGAGCGGAGGCTTATTCACAGCACGTGCTCCGAGTGCAAACAGAACAAGACATGCAAGATCCCATAAAAATGTGAGATCTTGTGAAACAATTTTTAAGGTTGATTGACAATCGTCCACTCCGAGGTGCTCCAGACCAGCCAAGAGACTTAGTCTCTTTAGAGTAGTGTTGTAGTACTCGAGACCGGTCTTGGTCTCGACTTGGTCTCGGACCCTAAAAGTCTTGGTCTTGTCTCGGTACACTCTGGTCTTGGTCTTGACTTGGTCTCGGGTTAGGTGGTCTTGTTACCTGTTGTTCTGTCTGTACAGCACTTTGGTTGGCCTTGTCGCTGTTTTAAGTGCTCTATAAATAAAATGGTATGGTATGAACACAACACTACTTTAGAGTGTCCTGGGTCTTCCTTGAGTTCAGGACCATAGGTGAGGGTAGGAATGTAGAATGGCGATAAACAGCGAACTTCTCCTCACAGCTCAGCTCCTTCTTCACCACAACGGACCGGCACAGAGTCCACAATACTGCAGAAGCAGCACCAGTCTTTGACATGGATATACAAACTATAATCTCTGTTTGAAAATGAAAAGTGGCCGTAATCTGCATTCTATCCTGTGCCAATTCTTTACTGATCATGTAGATAAATAATTAAAAACGAAACATAGCACACAAATATGTCACTTTCATGTGAATTCTGACAGGCTAGTCAGGCTGTTGACTAAATTATTCACATTCCCTGTGATATTTTGTTGATTTATTGATGGAAAAGTTCGCACTAACTGTAAGTTTAACGTTTAACAAACATTTAAATTGCTCCCGTCCTGAGTGTTTTCATGCAGGGAGCTGGAAACGCTCAGTGAAACTTGCAGGAGTCGTTTCTGCTTCGCTCAGCTCTCACCACCTTTGTTCTTCAGATAATGAGCCGGCCGTACCGGACCAACCGGTTCTGGCCGGTTCAGAAACCTACAGGTGCATTTTGTTGGAAGCAAATAAACAAACAGGTTCACCTGGAAAAGTAGAACACAAAGTCCTTTATTGGTTAAAATAATAATAATAAAATAAATAATAAAACAATTCTAAGTGCTTTTATTAAACAGTTGTTCTAAATCAGTGACTTTCCAGAACTAGTAAAAGTTCATAAACTGAAGTCATGCCTGATTGAAGCAGTTGCAGACAGGAAGTATCTTCATTCCTTTAAAGTGCAGATTTCCTTCATTTCTTTGTGTTTGAGTTTTGGACGAGCTGTCAAACTCAAAAATATTAAAACTTGGGTCAGTCTCAGCCCAAATGGACTGAAAACATATAAAAGTTTAAATTTTCTGTTGGTATTTGTCCAATTATTCATACAGAAATATGACTTTTTTTCTAACGACACAAAGAAGTCGGAACAAAAATTAATCATCTTTACGTACAAGAGCGTTGCTCCACATCAGCTGTTTTTCATCTAATATTTTAATCAACATTCATTAAATCAGCTAATAAAAATCCAAACATAAAGCTATTGACATTTGAATGTAAAATAATAAATACATCCTTTGACTTTGTCTCTTTAGAATTTGAATGGTTTTAATTGTGTGTTCTATTCACGTGGGATTAGTTTTACCTAGGGACCACACGCTATTTGTAATAATTACATAGATTGTGTGTGTTGTTAATCCCGTGCGAATCGGCCATGTCATAATTTGTAAAATACAAATTCACCCACAATTTGTGATAATAATAATCCAATGCAAATAGGCATCTCTGTGATTTGGACAGAAATGGGCCAGAGCCGATACATAATGAGGCGGTTTTTGTTTCCTGGGCGCATTTTTATTTGCTTTTGGCTGCATCGGAGTGCGTAAATAATCTTTTGTGTCCCGGACCAGCAAAAGCCTATCGACCCGTAATGTTCGCCAAAAAAAAAAAAAAAAAAAAAAGAAAAGGCTGAAGAGAAGGAGCAAAATCAAGCGCAGCATGTTAACATCATATCCGGAAGATGTCCGTAAATTTCAGCTAAATCTCAGGCTTTGGTTATCCCGTGCAAATGCGCCACATAAAAAGCAGACGTTGGGGAGTAATTTATTTATTACATGTGGTCCCTAGGTAAAACTAATCCCGTGCGAATAGGGCTTTTGTTGCTCGGTGTCAAAATCAAAGATTACTGAAAAGTTCTGATTTATTTTCTTGGCTTCAGGGTTGAGAACCTTCCATACGTGCGCCATATTTTTTTAAACAAAATAAGGACTCAGTCCATCAAAGACTGACAAGTCACTAAAGCATTTAAAAGACGATCTTTGGGGCCAGATAAAATGGTAATAAGGGCCACGATTGGCCCGCGGGCCTTCAGTTTAAAAAGAACCAGACAGGTCTTCCTGATTTCAGCTGTCTTCACGCCTCAGATGTAGGTCTTTGTCGGCGTGTCAGACAGATACGACTCTTCTTTGCCTTTTCCTTCAGCCTTGTTTAAGAGGTACTTCACAGAGGGGGCGTTCTCCTCCTTGGGGGGGCAGCTGGAGCACAGGAGCCCCCCTCCTATGATCAGTAACGCCGCAGCGCCCCAGCCGATGTAAAGGGAGCCTCCAATCTCTCGTTTCTGAGCGTCTATGACCAGAGGGCTGTAGAAGTCCTTGATGATGATGCTGGCGGTCCAGGAAACAGGAACCAGGCAGAGGATCCCGCTGACGATCAGGATCGCACCTGCTGCCACCGAGGCCTTCGCCTTGGCGCTCTCCTCTGGGATGAAGTTGGTGCACTTCCCTCCAACAAAAGCAATGAGGAGTCCTACGATGCCGGTGATGATGGACACCACCACCAGAGCTCGAGCCCCCTGGAGGTCTGTGCTCAGGGCCAGCATGGAGTCGTACACCTTGCACTGCATCTGGCCCGTGCTCTGCACCACGCAGCTCATCCAGATGCCCTCCCAGATGACCTGCGACGTCACGATGTTGTTCCCGATGAAGGCCGTCACCCTCCACATGGGAATGGCACAAACAATCAGCACCCCGATCCAACCGAAAAGGGCAATGGCGCAGCCGGCCATCTGCAGCCCCATGGAAGCCATCGCTGTGAATCTGAGCGCCTCTGAGAGAATAATGAGATGATCAGGTGTGTGTGCACCTGCAGCGGCGGAGGGATGGGAGGCGTGAGGAAACTTTAGAAGGCCTGCCAAACTATTCCACCCCTACAAGGCTTTGTGTGTGTGTGCAGAACAAAATCAGGCGTGAGGCTTTCCTAGAACTGTATTCAACAAGAATGT